AGTTAAGTAGGATGAATATTTTTGTTTTGTTCTTGAGAGGAAGAAGATGGAGAAATACAATGGGCAATAAACAATAGAAATTTAAACACTACAAAGAAAATACCATAGTTTAAAACATTTTAGATTTTTTAGTGAATTGTATTTGAAAAAGGCAAAGAAAAGGTCATATGGGGGAATCCGTAAGTTGTTTGATGTTGTGTTTGTAGCCGATGAGAAAATCGTTTAGAACTTTAGTGAATGTTTTTGCTACTACTATTTGATGACTCTAAATTAGTTTGATTAACACAGTTTCACCTCCTAAAATAGTAAATATGATTAAATGGAAAGTAATTAGGAAAAATACATTAATTTACATATTGAACACTTTTTTGGTAAACATGGGGACATACGACAAAAAAACTAGTAAATTTGGGTTTATTTTTAATTTCAAAAGTAAATGGAAACTATTGAAAATAGACTGTAAATTCGAGCCCTTCAATTCCAATTTTGCGTAATTTTTTTCTGCGGCGTTTACTCTTGTATGACCGGAGATAGAGTAGGGCAAAAACTGAAATCGAAAGAGAATTATGGCGGAAGAGGCGATACTAGGGTTTCTCAAGAACAATGAACAGATCACAGATTCGGGTCAATTTTCTACTGAACACAAACTTGACCACAACGAAGTCGTCAATATCATCAAAAGCCTCCATGGTTTTCGTTACATCGATGTTCAGGTACTCGTGCTTCTCCGTTAAATCTTGTATCCGACTCATGAGTGTGAATTCTCTGGGTTTGATTTGGTAGACAAAGTGAAAATCGTCAAGGGTTTCGATTTAAGGGTCTAGTGTGTTAGATTAAAGTGTTGTAATATTGAAAATCGGGTTTTACAGATTTTGCCATAAGTTTCTATCATTGACAAGGTTTAGTGGACTAGCTTTGTATTGTAATATGATGTGCTTGTAATTGTACAGGACATAAAAAGGGAGACATGGGTTTTGACTGATGAAGGGAAGAAATATGCAGCAGAAGGATCACCAGAGGTACAGCTTTTCTTAGCTGTGCCAGAAGAAGGTAGCATTTCAAAAGATGAGCTTCAGGTGATTACTATGGATATGTGTATGTTAATATATTTTGGTGGGATTTGTTAATGTTGCTGATAATGGCCGTAAAATGGTTGCTATTTCAGAAAAAGCTAGCTCCTTCGGTCTTCAAGATCGGCTGTTCACAAGCTGGAAAAAACAAGTGGGTGGAAATGGGAAAGCAAGTCTCTAGGAAGGTAAATGCAAGATTGTTCTGTAATGGTTTAGCAGCTTCTGTCTTTTTGCAATGGTTTTCAGTGTTTTGTTTCGTTATTCCCTTTTATCTCCTCCTTTGGATGTTTGGTATGGTGTCTGAATCAATTAAGCCTATGTCACACTCAGTCACTTTCGGTTTATTTAGTCTGCATTCAATAGCTTTGAACCATTTTATTGTAGGTTCAACATGTAGAAGATAAAGTGAAAGGGACGCTTTTACAGATTCAAGAAGGAAAGGTTTGTGCTATGTTATTTCTGTAGAGAGTTTGTATCTTGTATTTGCCTTCATAACTCATATTGATTTAAGTATCCCGTTCTCCCCTTCAGGAAATTGACAAAGACAGTATCAATTCTCTCAAAGCTAGAAAACTCATAGCACCACAGTAATTGATTCCACTTTTCTTTTGCATTTGTTTATTTTGGGAGACATTATCAATAGCTTATATCCTTTCTACTTATCAGGACATGGAAGGGGTATTCTGTAAAGAAAGGGCCTAATTATGCTCCCGAGAGAAAGAAAGTGGCCACCGATTTGAATCGAGAAAATCTGCAAAAGTGCGTCCTATTCGTTCTCTTTTTAAAACTTTCCAATGGTATTATAGGTAGAATATGCAATTAAGATTGGAAATTGGCACTTACCTGCAGCTGGGAAGAGTTAGAGTTTAAGGAGTATAACTTCAACGCTAAAGGAGCACCTGTTGATGCTGGGCATCTTCACCCTCTTCTCAAGGTAAAGCTGACACAAAAAATTGCTGTATTCCTTTGGTGTAAGCTTGGCGTTTCGTATAGCTTAAGTGTATATATTGTATATTAGTGGTTATCGCTTCCACTGTAATGCAGGTTTTGGGTAACCTTTTTTTTTTAACTAACTTCTTAAGTTTTTATCATTCTTGTGTCTCAGGTGCGGAAGCAGTTCAAAGACATATTTGTTCAGATGGGGTGAGAGAGACTCTTGACATATATTGTAATTTCTCCATTTTTCTGTTGCTGGTCAAAATTTATGGTGTGCTTTATGTGGTCACAGGTTCGAGGAGATGCCAACCAACAACTTTGTGGAGAGCAGGTATCATCTAATTGTTACAGAATCATATTTAATGGTCTTCAGCTTTTCGTCGAGGCTTAAGGAGATTTTATTAGACATTTATACTTGATATTCTTTGGCTGATTTTAACCTGTTTCCTATACTCCGTAGCTTCTGGAATTTTGATGCTTTGTTCCAGCCTCAGCAGCACCCTGCTCGTGATTCTCATGACACCTTCTTTCTAAAAGGTTCAATTTTTGAATGCTTAGTTACTGATTTTGCTGTTGAGACAGCTTTTTCTCGGTTGCCCGATGACATCTCAATGAACTCTTAATTCTAAGGGATGATTCTTTGAATGTAGCTCCTTCTACTACAAGGACACTGCCGGAAGATTATGTAGAGAGGGTGAAACAGGTTCATGAGTCTGGTGGATATGGATCTAGAGGGTAAATGGCTTATATCTATGCTTACTATCCTTTATTAGTTATAACTTATTTGTAATCACTCTGACATGGTCTTTTGCATTGAAGGTATAATTATGATTGGAAGAGAGAAGAAGCAAACAAGAATCTTCTCCGTACTCACACAACGGCTGTCTCTTCTAGGATGCTTTATGCACTAGCACAGGTCTTACTAGACCTGACCTTATCGTTTCAATCCTTAGTCGATAATTGTCTCATGTTTTTTTAGTGATTTAACTCTCCTGGCTAGCTACTTGGAGGATGTAGAATGTATCTTTCCAAATTTCAGTAGTATAATTAGATTTCTATCTTGCTACAGCAACCTTTTGTGCCCAAGAAGTACTTCTCAATTGACCGTGTCTTCAGAAACGAGGCTGTTGATCGGACCCACCTGGCAGAGTTCCATCAAATTGAAGGTATAGTATAGTACTACTAATTTCAAATGTTATTACTGTTGGGAATTATTTCAAAGTTAGCATCATATTCTGTCGAACTTTTTTTATCTCATTTTCAGTCGGTTAAATGATCTCATGTTTTGATAAGGTTTGATATGTGACCGGGGCCTTACATTGGGAGACCTGATTGGTGTATTAAATGACTTCTTCTCACGCTTAGGTAAACTCTTTCTTAAGTTTGTCACTGAATCTTAACTTTGCCTTGAGAGAGAAAGAAAAACTCTTTACACGATCAATCTTTTCAGGGATGTCGAAACTGCGTTTCAAGCCAGCTTACAACCCTTACACAGAGCCAAGCATGGAGATTTTCAGGTAATTGGTAAAAAGAAATATAATCTTCTAAAATGCATAAAACAGAGACAAAAGGTAAAACTTTGTCTGTTCTTGGATTTCAGCTACCATGAAGGTTTAGGCAAGTGGGTGGAGATTGGAAACTCTGGAATGTTCAGACCCGAAATGCTTCTACCGATGGGTCTACCTGAGGATGTACGAGTCATCGCTTGGGGTCTTTCTCTTGAAAGGTACGGGTTTTGAATTTTCCATTTTCCCTAAACATCTCAGGTTCATCGCTGATTATTTCTTAATTAATGTTCATAAACCAGACCAACAATGATATTGTACGGTATCGACAACATCCGAGATCTCTTTGGACACAAGGTAACCTCAAGATCTTTTTCTTCTTTAATTGAATAAGAATTCCCTTGTTTCCATTGCCTTGTATACTCAAATCCCCATCTCATTCTTTGTTCGCAGGTGGATCTCGATCTCATTAAGCGAAATCCGATCTGCCGAATTGGAATCTGAGTGAGATTTTTGATTGTCTTCTTCATTCAAGAAGCTCCTTTTACTTGTTCTACTCTTTTGATGATCTCTTAGTATTTTCAATTATTAGACTTTACCATTTGAATTGATTTTGTGTGTTCACTCGAATGAATTGCAATTTAACTTTTTAATTATGGACTATAAGTTCGTGTTTGGTTGTAAGTTCGTGTTTAGTTGTACCAAGATGCTAAATATAGCTCACACAAGAACTGTTACAACTTTCGAATTTTTAGATGATTGTCCCGAAACTGTTACAACTTTCGGAATCCTACCCCTTTGCCTGAAATGATACAAATCAAAACTGGTAGGGTTTGACCATTCACAGAATACAAATTATGGGGGGTATTTTTTTTTTATCAACAATGGAACAAATCAACCACAAAAATCAAATTTT